CCAAAAGACCATGGCATGGTAGCTTCTGTCACACAGAATAATAGTCAAACGCCAAGTCAAGCCAAAAGGAAGAAAAATTATTGTGGGAGGAAGAAATAAGGTTAGCAAAGAGCTTGGTTGCAAAATGTTGACTAGTATGAAGAGTCAATCAGTTTGAGGAAGGTAATGAAGGAATAATCCAATTATGTATTTGTCTCACCCTTTCCTTTAATATTTTTCCTGACCTTGTTCCAAACTCTCTGGCTTTAACTTGCTTTCTGTAATAAAGGCAACAAATCCTGCTCCATTTTCCTTAACATGGCCATACACGTACCCAGCACATTCCTATAAATACAATAGTCTACCCACCCTTTGCCTTCACCTCCTCCGCTATCCCTTATTTCAATTGGTAAAAAGGTAAATGATATAGATATGTGGAATTACTCCTTCAGCATGCTCATACAAATATACCAGTAGATATGGAATGTTACCAAAAGCATCTGTGCATCAAACATGCATAGACTCGGGCACATTATGTCCTTGCAACTTGTTTTTCTTTCTAACTCAGAAGTTACACAGCAGGTAAACAAGTTGAACCTTACTTCTATGCCCTTAGACATCCTTAGTGGACTGGCCCACCGGGATACCGGGAAATTTCCCAGTGGGTCAGAATACTAGCGGATCGGTGCGCGGCCGCCTAGTGCGCACCGGCCCACGGGCCACATGGCGCAATTACAGGGTGACGGGCAGGAGGGGATGCACTGCAATGCATCTCTATGAGGAGATGTTGATTGGTGTGGTGAAGCACAGCATTTTGCCACAAATGCACAATGCTTTTCTATGGGAATTGAATTGGCATTGACTGAAATTTGTCCAGTTGTCAACCAAAGTGAAGAGTACACTCTTATTATTTAACCCCTTAAGGACAGAGCTTCAGAAGCTTGTCTTTCACTTAATGACAACAGTATTTTTTTCATTTTTTGCTGTTTGTGTTCAACTGCAATTTGCATTTTACTAATTTATTGCACCGACACATATTATATACCGTTTTTTAAAGGACAGAAAGTGCTTTAATTTGATGTAACAAATATATATATATATTCAAAAAATGGTGGCTCCTTGGGCTTCGTTTAAAATCCAATAAGTTTATTAGGGATACATTAAAATCGAGATCAACGTTTCAGCCCTGTTATGGGCTTTCCTCAGGATCAAAAATTACATACAAATGTGCTATACACTGTAAACAGACTTATATACTATAAAGGAAAGAGGATAATTGATTAACTTACCCCAGCTGATGCAGAAGCCCGACCGGCATTCTTCTGATCATTGCGCGCATGCGTGCTATCACCCAATAGTTAACTCCCTGCGGCATGATGCTATACGCATCTCCATAGTGATGATGAAGCTTAGCCGTGTTGCTATAGGAGACAGCAGACGCCGTACGGGCTGCACACCAGAATGCCGATCGGAAAACCGATCGGCATATTGGGGTTATACAAAGAAAAGACATAATTAATAGCCAGATGCATATCCACTTGATACACGAATAACACAAACATTCTAATAGCTTCCAAAGTGATGTGCACTGTGTACCATATAAGCCCAAGTATCATTACACTCAAATTGTAAATACTCTATAGTTTTAAAGTGGGATGCAGTATGAGGAATCACAATTTAATTGTAAAATATAAAGTGCTAAATACTAATAAAGTGCTTAATGTAAAGGTTTAGGTGCAAAGTGACTGTCCCTGCAGTCTCAGCAATGTAAATACTGCCTGTTCTGTGAAAAAAAAAGTATTTACATAGATCCCTAACGAAACTTCTAGTGGGTGTAAATCAGACAGCCACTAGAGGAACCTCTTATTACAGTCCAGCAATCTTTGCAAGACTGACGCTCAGCATCTTTACACTTAACATGAAGACGCTGAAGCATCCACATAGAGATGCACTGGAAAAAATGCATCTCTATCACTAGATGTGATTGCTGCTCTACCTCTCTGTGGAGAAGCACTGGAATGGCTGAGGTCATCAATAATGATGATCTTAGCAAGAGGCAGACAGGCCTAAAGGTGCATGCAAGTAACAACACATGCATCACCGGTGATGCTCAAGATAGGTAATTCCACCCGAAATGGCTGCCCAAAAAAGGGGAGTGTCATCCTTGTGTTAATTCAAGCCAAGCTGACAACCTCCCTGACTGGCCCTGCTCATCTCAGACTGCGCAGAGAGCACTGCTGAAGCTTTCTCTACATGGTCCCAGTGCACTCAGCATAGTGTAAGTGCACCCAATCAAATGCTTGCATTGTTTTTGTTGCAGACAAGTCAGTATGGTTGCCACAAATCCAGGACTGTGTGTATTCACATAGAAATCTATTTTGTCTGTGGATTACAGGGGTTTATCCCAGAGTGCGTTTGGGAAAGGTCCTGCACCGGAATTTAAAGGGACACTATAGTCACCCAGACCACTTTAGCTCAATGAAGTGGTCTGGCTGCCAGGTCCCCCAGGTTTTAACCCTTCAAATGTAAACATAGCAGTTTCAAAGAAACTGCTATGTTTACATTGCAGGGTTAATCCAACCTCTAGTGGCCATCTTCCTGACAGACGCTAGAGGTGCTTCTGCGATACTGGGTGTGAAAATCGCATTCAGCGAGCAGAACGTCTATAGGAAAGCATTAAGAAATGCTTTCCTATGGACTGTTTGAATGCGCGTGCGGCTCAGGAGCCAACGTTGGAGTGGGAGGAGTGGTCACCAGCGCTGGTTTAAAGTAAGTAACTGTAGTGGTTTTAACCCCTTCAGCGCAAAGGGAGGGGGGCCCTGAGGGTCAGGGGGACCTAAGGGCTGTATAGTGTCAGGAAAACGAGTTTGTTTTCCTGACACTATAGTGATCCTTTTACCTCACTTATTATATAGGACCTTTTCATTTTTCCTGTTATTTAATATATTATCACTTGGAGTGGCGGCATCGTTTGTGGATGGATCTCACTACTCATTAACACTTTTTCTGTTCTATGTGTGAATATGTAGGTGAATTTGTGCAACTTGGCAGTGTTTGAACATAGTGGTGAAATTGAGCATATCATATCCCCGCCCCTGTATGCTCTGGACACTGTGCAAAAGCGTAAGTTTAAGTAACAGGAACTCCACAGCCTGATGGGCTCCCTGAATGTCATTGGACCAGTTGGGGAGCTCTCTGAACTTCCAGGCTGGTTTTGCACTGCTCAACCACGCATTAGCTCCAAAAGGCTTGGGTCTTTGGTTTATAATTAATTAGTCCAGAAACAGGACACTAGGAAACAAAGTTGGATGGTGAGACAGAAGCCCAGAACCAGGACTGTTCCACAAGATCTGGGACTGTTGAGAGGCATGTTTTTTGACACTTTGGAAAGGTGTGAAAAATCACTTTTATGAATTTACAAAATAGAAATCAAGAACGGTTTAACCCCTTAAGTTAATAATGCACCCAGGGGCCTAGGTTTCACCATAACAATTTATCTTAAATAAGGGTTAGTGGTTGGAGTAGGGTTATGGTAGGGGTAGGGTAACCCTAACCCTATTCCTAACCCTACACCTACTCCTAACCCTAACCTTGCTCCTAACCCAACACTACCATAACCATACCCTTACCTTATCTGTAACCCTAACCCTATCTAACCCTACCATAACCCCACGCATTACCTAACCCTATCCCTAAACCAACCCTAACCCTACACCTAACCCTCTAATTAACCTTATCCCTACCCTAACCCTACCTTTAACCCTACCCCTAACACTAACACTACCTCTACCTCTAACCCTACCTCTAACTGTACCCCTACCCTTAACTCTACCCTAACCTTACCGCTAACCCTACTCCTAACCATACCCTACCCTAGCCCAACCACTAACCCTACCCCTTCCCCTAATCCTACCCATAACCCTACCTCTAACCCTACCCGTAACCCTAACCTTATACTGACCTGAAGTCTTACCTGAAGTGCCAAACCGAAGTTCCAAAGAGCTGAAGTCACGAATTTCGGAATACTGAACCGAATATTTTTCCCATGCACATCCCTAGCCTCCATGGATTGGATTTATTCTTCTAGCACATCCCACAGATGCTCAAGCAGATTGAGAGTGTGGGAATTCAGAGGCCAAGGCAACACCTTGAGCTATTTGTCATGCTCCTCAAACCATTCCTGAACATTTCTGCAGTATGGAAGGTTGTGTTATACTGCTAAAAGAGTCCACAGCCATCAGGGAACACAATTGCCATGAAGGGGTGCACGTGGTCTGCAACAATCTCTAGATGGGTGGTAAGTGTCAAAGTAACATCCACATGAAATGCTAGGATTCCAAGGTTTCCCATTGCCCAGAGCATAACATTGCCTCCACCAGCCTACCTTCTTCTCATAGTGCATCCTGCTGCCATCTCTTTCCCAGGTAAATGATGCACATGCATCCGGCCATCTGCTTACATCCCCATTGAAGGCACTTTTTTTTCGGTGGACAGAGGTCATCATGGGCACTCTGACCAGTCTGCGGCTATGCAGCCCCATACGCAGAAAACTGTGATGCACTGTGTGTTCTGACACCTTTTTTTATCATGGCTAGCATTAAAGGACCACTCTAGGCACCCAGACCACTTCAGCTTAATGAAGTGGTCTGGGTGCCAGGTCCAGCTAGGGTTAACCCATTTTTTTATAAACATAGCAGTTTCAGAGAAACTGCTATGTTTATTAATGGGTTTTCTTCAAAGCTCTAGTGGCTGTCTCATTGACAGTTACTAGAAGCGCTATAAGCTTCTCACTGTGATTTTCACAGTGAGAGCACGCAGCGAAAGCATTGTAAATGCTTTCTTAAGTAACGCTGAATGCGGCGCAGTTTTTGCCGCGCGCGATTCAGCCCAGAGGGAACGGAGGAGGAGAGAAGGAGGAGAGCTCCCCGCCCAGCGCTGGAAAAGGTAAGTTTTTACCCCTTTCCCCCTTCCAGAGCCGGGCGGGAGGGGGACCCTGAGGGTGGGGGCACCCTCAGGGCACTATAGTGCCAGGAAAACGAGTATGTTTTCCTGGCACTATAGTGGTCCTTTAAAGGAACTCTCCAGTGCCAGGAAAACAAACCAGTTTTCCTGGCACTGCTGGATTCCCTTCCTCCCGCCCCCCATCCCATGATGCTGAAAGGGTTTAAACCCCTTCAGCTACTTACCTGAATCCAGCGCCGATGTCCCTCGGCGCTGGCCAGACTCCGCCTGCTCTCCTCCCCTGCCAACGTCAGCCGGCGGGGGAGACCTAACGCGCATGTGCGGCAATGTCTGCGTGTGCATTAGACCTCCCCCTAGGAAAGCATTGTTCAATGCATTCCTATGGGGAAAATCTGATGCTGGAGGTCTGTGACGTAACCGACCAAACCGACCGACCAAAATTCGGTTTGGATTCCAGAAGCCCTCTTGTGGATGTCTAATAGACAGCCACAGAGGGCAGACTTAGAGCTGCAGTGTAAACATTGGGGAATAGGGGAACAGCACCCAGACCACTTCAATTAACTTAAGTGGTCTGGGTGCCTGGAGTGACCCTTTAGCCCCTTAATCCCTTAAGGACCAATAAAAGGGAATCATGACATGTCACACATGTCATGTGTCCTTAAGGGATTAAAGGACCACTATAGGCACCCAGACCACTTCAGCTTAATGAAGTGGTCTGGGTTCCAGGTCCAGCTAGGGTTAACACTTTTTCTTTTATAAACATAGCAGTTTCAGAGAAACTGCTATGTTTATATTAGGGTTAATCCAGCCTCCAGTGGCTGTCTCTTGACAGCCGCTAGAGGTGCTTGCGTGCTTCTCACTGTGATTTTCACAGTGAGAAGACGCCAGCGTCCACAGCAAAGCATTGTGAATGCTTTCCTATGGACTGGCTGAATGCGCGCGTGGCTCTTGCCTCGCATGCGCATTCAGCTGGTGACGGAAGAAGAGGGAGGAGAGGAGGAGGAGAGCTCCCCGCCCGGCGCTGGAGAAAGAGGTAAGTTTAACCCCTTCTTCTCCCCAGAGCCTGGAGGGAGGGGGTCCCTGAGGGTGGGGGCACCCTCAGGGCACTATAGTGCCAGGAAAACTAGTATGTTTTCCTGGCACTATAGTGGTCCTTTAAGGACACTTCTTTTATTCCAGAAGTTTGGTCCTTAAGGGGTTAAGTTTTTCAGCAATTTGAGCTACAGTAGCTATTTTGTGCAAACAGACTAGACTTTGCTCCTTACGTGCATCAATGAGCCTTCGGTGCCCATGACCCTGATGCTGGTTCACTAATTGTCCTTCTTTGCACCACTTTTGGTAGGTACTAACCACTGGAAACCAGGAGCACCCCACAAAACTTGCCATTTTGGAGATGTTCTGACACAGTTGTACAGCCATCACTATTTGATCTTAGTCAAAGTCACTCAGATCTTTTTGCTTGCCTATTTTTACTGCTTTCTAACAATGAAATTCAAAAGCTGACTGTTCACTTGCTGCCTAATATATCCCACCCCTTGACGGGTGGCATTGCAACAATATAATCAATGTTATTCACTTCACCTATCAGTGGTGTTAATATTGTGGGTGATCAGTGTATAGTGTTTGTATAGATAATATTATGGGAAAATTAATTTCCAATCACTTTCTTCGTCACATACATGTGGACAGATTGTAACCATTTTTTATCAGAGGAAGAAAAAATTACAATAATATTATTAATAATATTATATAATAAGAAGTTTTCTCTATTCGTGTTCTGGCTCCCTTTTTCTCCTTCAGGTATCTCTCTTTCTCTTCGCACCCTCCCTCATTTAAGTGTTCCAAGGTAAAATTCCTTACCCTACCACCCCCATCTTACATATCAATTTCTCTGAGTCAATGATTCAGGGATCCAGTCAGGACTTGTATCAGCACTACCTTGTGTAGTACAAAGAGACAGAGAAGGGATAGCCGTTCCAGTATACAAAATACAGAGTGAAGAGTCTCCAACAAGATAAACTGTCAGCACAGAAATCATAGGACAAATAAATAGGACTGCATCTAAAAAACACCAAAAATCTTAATGAAAACAAAGAAAGATACAGAGAAAGACAGCAAGTAGAGTGGAACAGCACCAGAGACAGCTAACAGTACCATGTACAACGAGATACAGGTGAGTCAGCTAATTTGAAATATTTACTGATTCTCGCTATAAGATGAAGCATAGAGGACTCCAAGTCAACTTACCTGGGGGCCCAGTAATTTCTCCCATGGTAGTCGTAGAACTATACTACCACACTTGCGCACACACACACACAGGCCATACTCACAGACATAAACATTCAGAAACACACTCATATCCATACAGCTATGTATTTCAATACACACACTCCGCTACACACCCACATATACATACCCATCTACACATGCACATACACTCAACTACAGACTCCCATATATAAACACTACCATACATACAGACAGATACACACACTTGCAGACTGCAAAATCCCTCAATTTAAGTAATAAAGCTGTAGCAGTCTGGGCAATCAAATATTGCTCCCCAGCCAGTCTCCAGACACATTAAGTAAAGGCCCACTGATGGCCCCCATAACAAACGAAGCCAGTATTAATCTGAGATATAGAGAGGTATCAATCCATGGATGTGGGTCATGTGGAAATATTTAAGGAGGTGGAAATGTGAGACTAGACATGTGCAATTTGTTTCGGGCCGAATATGAATTCGGACGAATTTCAGGCAATTCGGACATTCGGTTACTTCCGAATAGCCGAAGTTCCGAAATTACCAAATTTCTGAAATGATGAATTGCCGAAGGTCCGAAGCACAGTATTGCCTAAGTATTAATATACTTACCCACTGGAAGAAGAAGAATGTTACATTGTATACAATTTTAAATAAAAAGTATACAAACGTAGCCAGGATTCAGCTGTAAGCATTTGCAACACTTACAACAATCAAGTAACATACATTTATATAAAATGTAAGTTACTTAGCCAGTCATGTAATGACAGGAATGAATAAGTAGATAACTCCCTAATTCCCACGGTATTAGGGAGCTATCTACTAAAAGGCTGAAAGACCTAAATTGGTCTTTTAGCCAAATTTACTAATACTAAGTACAGATTACTTAGTATTAGTAAATTATGCCCCTACTCGCTATACCGCGAGTAGGGGCATGTCTATTAAACAGTGAGCAGCCTGAGGCTGCTCACTGTTTAAAAAAAAAAAAAAAAAAAAAGTCCAGAATTGACTCAGTAACTCATTCTGCAGTATTATATGCAAAATATAAAATATATATTTTCAACAAGATAAAATGTTGATAAAATACTACAATTGATTTGAGAATCCTCCCCATCATTTTCTCTTCTATAGTAAAGCATGAAAGGGAAGAGATGTGTGCCTTAACTGACATGTATCTCCTCTGATTAACTCCCAAGAGATCTTGTCTTCAAGTCCAATTAACAATAATAGATGACTTCATAACTCAATGATCTCTAAAATTAGATAATCAATGTGATGGAGCTCCTGTACCTAGGCCGAGTACCTCCACCAGATCAGTTAAATCGGTGCTATCGGGAGGATCTGACATGCTATGGATCCATCCCATTGCAGTCTCTCTGATGAGAGAACTTTGGTCATGCTATCAGTGGAGTCGATATTATTCTTCTAATCCTAACGCAGTATTCACAGAAAAGAGTATAACTGTTTCCCCCAAAGCATTAGCAAAGACTTAATGTAGGGGTAAAACGGAACTCCTTTATTGCACTCACATAATATGTTTATACTCCCTAGATGTAGATACCCAATGCTAGTGATGATAGATACAATACAGTATAACACAATCCAATCCTCTCCCTGGCACCACTCTATTATATGATCAGTCCAGAGTTAATGATATTTCCCTTCTGCTGTGTCATCTCCAGGCAGGGTGTCAGAGAATCTGAGCTCCAAAACTTTCTTTCCCAACACAGTATCCCCACAAACCATACATCTCTCTCTCTCTCAGCGATGCACTGTCCAAAAAGCGGCAGATCGTGGACAGAGGGTCCTGTGACAGGGTCTATAGTCTGTGAGGAAGAGGCTGGCTTCCAAGCCCCTCCATGAGTTAGGGGCACTCGGGCTTCCGTCACAGTCACACATCATGAAGCATTGAGAGTATACTCTGCTACAAATATCAGTGCTTAATTAGTTTTGGAACATTGGGGATGAGGACTATCTTCTAAAAATAAAAACATGTATATTAGTGAAATCTGGGTTTTGGGGGTTCAAGTGGTTGTTTTTTTTTTTTTTTACTTCTTCAGGGTATTCCCCTGGATCAACATTAATAAAAACATCAGGAAAGGTGAATGGCCAAGAAAAGGGTGAAAAATCAAGTTGAGAGTATAGAAGAAAAATAGAATGTATTAGAGAGGGGCAGATTTGGGGAGAAATAGAAGAAAAACAGACAGCAGAGAAATAAGGTAGAAAGAGAAAAAAAACTGAGAATAGAAACACAGCATACATTTCAAATTTATTAAAGAGTGAAGAGGGTGTACTGTTTGAAAAGTAGCTTTAATTTAAAAACACCCATCTGAAATTGTGGCAGTTTGGAAATAAAATGTTTGGTGTAAATAAATCAATTATTATGTTTTGTATATTTCTTTTTAACAGACTGAATTAATAGAATTAGTATACTAATTATTATTTATGTTTCTGTTCTATTTTGTACTTTTCTTTATCTCCCTCTCATGCTGTCGTTTATTGTCTCCTATTAATGCCTTTCTCTGTGCCTTCAATCTTTTGCCCTTTACACAAACCCTCTTTAGCTATTTTTTTCTTGGCCTTTCCTGCTTCTACTGTCTCTGCCTGTTACTACTATAGGACCCACGGCTTTACCCACTGAGAACAAAACACAGTCACTGGAAAACAACGGCACTGATCTGAATAGTAAAAATTCCAGCTCTCTGACCACCATTGCCCCAACATTGATAAACAATCAGTCTTCTGCTCCTCTGTTCACCAAGGTCACACAAGGTCACAAAAGTACAAGAGAGCACATTCGTTACATAACAGGTGGAACTGGTGATGATTACTATGAAGATGACAATGAAGAAACAATACCTCCCATCCCACCGAACATCATTCTTGA